AGAAGAGCATCTCAAAATCCTGTCGTGATAGAACCACAGAAAAGGGTATACAATCTATGTCATGTCACACAAGGAGATGGCTGTGACAGTCTATTGCGTTCCTCCCCATTACCCATTTCATGCACACCGAATTATACCGAGACCACATACGATGCAGCGCGCGCTCACGTGACTCTTTTCGTCGAGGTACGTACCCCACAACACCAACGAGCGGGTCACCTCAATACAGCACAAGCATCACGACACTCAAAGCTCATCCAAGCTCATCGTTACCGTATTCCAGCTCACCACAAAAACGCCTGGACAAGATGCTGTTCTTCAGGTAGGAATTCAGACTCATGCGACGGATCAGAGCATGTGAAATCGGCAAGAAATAGTCACTGACGCGACGCCTTAGCTTCTTCAAAACCCTCATCGACCATGAGGTCACCATCGAGCTCAAGAACGACATTCAGATCCGCGGCACGCTCAAGAGCGTCGACCAGTACCTGAACATCAAGCTCGAGGACATTTCCGTCGTTGAGGAGCTGAAGTACCCGCACCTGGTTCGTTGCCTAGAAACCCTCTCACCCGCTGCGTCTACCTTCCTTCGCTGCGGCGAGAGGAGCACAGGCCAAGGCGTAGCATGTGTATCATGCAAGAGTGTCCACTCGCTAACTGGACGCCACAGAGTTCTGTCAAGAATGTCTTCATTCGTGGCTCAGTTGTGCGCTACGTTCATCTTCCTGCTGCGTCTGTAGATGTTCCACTGCTGGAGGATGCGACGCGGAGGGGTAGGTTTAGTTTCTGCCGGCTTATGGTGTCGTGGATCGCTGACGTCCTTCTAGAAGCAGCTGCTCAACAGGCCAAGGCGAAATAGAGGAACGGCACAGAGACCAACTTCCAAAACTACGATTGCCGGGGTGAGGGGCTGAGGCTGCAGCGGAGAAATAGCACTGCGCACGCACTCGCCGCCGTCTGTTCTGGCGTCAGACACAGGGAATCTGCGGCCTCTATGATCAGGTGCCACGTGAGACTGGGTCGGTTAAAATGCCAACGCTTTATGGACTGGCCCTGATAGTGGAGGAATTATCAGGAGCGATCAGCACGATTCAGCCTAGGCTTGCACTTCCATCCGATTTAAAGGATCCGAGACGGCCACATGTACACCAAGTACAGAACCAGTCTCATTCATAGTTCACAAGCATGTTTCGCACACAAAAATTTGTGCTATCCCAAAAAAGTCAATTGCATCCCCAGACGCCGTCGCGGGATGCTGTCCTTTCCTCCTCAGTTTCTACCTACACAGGAGAGTATTACAATGAATGCATGGCTTCCATGCGCCAAACCACAGGTTTCCTGCCACTCCATCCCGCAAAGAAAACCCATATTGTTCCCTAGTACAACCCTTGATTTCGCTTCGCTCAAAGCATGATAGCCAACTCTGGCCTGTCCATCTTATCTTCGTCCAGGTTGGGATAGTATGGTACCATGGCATCCGCGCCCTGGACGTACGCATCATTGTACAGCCGCCAATAGGGCTGGCGTACCTTGCGCGCCGGGTGGAAGAGACCCGCCCAGACATAGTTCATCACAACACCAGGTCCGACAGCCATGCGGACAGCCTCGATAGCCTCGACGATGCGATCGATGACATGTGGACTCGTCTCGAACAAGTTGGGATAGAGAAGGTTGAGAAGATGGATCATAGCGTCCTCACAACCGAGACCGACCACGCCGAGAGCAATGTGCTTGACAACAGACGCAGCTGTTTGTCGGTGGACCTGGTCGCGATCGATGAGCGCGTCTTCGAGCAGTGGTGTAACAGCGTAAACGTAGTCCTTGGCCATCTCGCCAATGTACTCGAAAAGGAAGGAGAGTGACTTGAGTACACCGTTTTGAACATTGAGTTCGGGAACACGGTACTCGTTCATAAGAGCAGGCAGGACGGTGAAAGGCGCGCAGGTTTCGGCCACGATACCAATAGCAACAGCCGTGTTGACACGAGACTGGCGCTCTTGTACCCTCAGGTTGTTGAGCAGAGTAGCCAAAACATCCTGGGGACCGATGGCCTTGGCGATGAAACCGAAAGTGTTGTTGGCCGCACGACGAATACCCTTTTTGTGGGCTTTCAGCATATCAAGGAGCTCGAAACAGATTCGCATCCATTCTCGTGCATTGACGCTTTCGGGGCCACGATCAGCGATACGACCAACGAGATCGATGGTGTTCTCTTGGACCTTCTCGTGTCGATTGCGAAGAATAGGGGTGAGACGGGGGAGTAGGTCTTTGATGGGCGGTTGCATCTGTGTGATACCAACCACGGTAACGATGGATCGAAGGGCACCTAGGATGGAACCAAGAACCTCCGGGTACTCCTCGCCCAGATACTCGTAGAGCACGACGCCAAGTTTGCCCATGAGTGCGTCTTCACCGCATTGCTTCATGACCATAGCAATTCGCGAGATAAGATCAGCTGCCTGCTGTCGTACAGTGGCCGACTTATTGTTCAGTCTCCAAAGAATGGTGCTGACGATTTGTGGGAGGTAGGGTTTGCATCGCGAGCCCAGCGCATTGACGACAGAACCAAAGCCATTGAGCATGATAATGTCCTCAACGCTCTGCTCCTGGAATGCGTGCAGAATGCCGTCGATGAGTCGCTCTTCGAGTCTCTCACCAATATCGGCAGCGCCCAGGCTCGCGACAATCTTCTCAATCGTCTCCACCGTCATCTTGCGATATGCTTCGCTCTCATCCTTCAGGTTGACAACGATTCTCTCAATGATCTCGCTGACACCGACCTTTTGGCCAATGTCGACCGTAGTCTCGACAACTTGTCTGTAGTTGCGCTTGTCAAGCGCCATTCTTCTGACCCAGAAGCTCTTGAAAAAGTCGTCGAGGACGTGTTCTTTGAGATAGCCCGCGGTGACACCATCGGTACCTGCACACTGCGACACCACCTTGAGCACCACCTTCTTCATCTCTTCGTCTGGGGAGGAGAACTCTCGAAGGAGAATCTCCATGATCTGGCTCGTGTAGTAGTTGGCGTATTCCTCGTCCATGAGGGGAATGATGAAGCCAACAGCCTTCAGAAAGCCAGCAAGACCCTTGCCTCGTTGCTTTCGCGCGCCTGTCCAGAGGGGGTTGAGGATGTCATCGAAACTTTCGATACCGTAGGGGTTCGATGCCTCGGCAAGGGCGGCGATGGCCAGACTGGTGACGGTGCGGACCTTGGTCTGCTCATCATTCAGGTTGGGGGCGATACAGTCCACAAGGCCTTTCAGATGGGGAAGCACGGCGCAACCCATGAGAATGGGAATCTGCTGCACAATCTTGACACCCGTGTGTCGCGCCTGCCATTGCTTCTTGCTTCGGCAGACGGCTCTCAGGAAAGGAAGAAGAGCTGGAATGCCGAGCGCCGAGGCCACGACGGCGAACGCTCGGGCGGTGGTGTTTCTGACGTACTCATCGGTATGATCGATGTCGTGCCTCATGGTACTGATCATGGTGGCGAGACCAGCGGCTTTACTGAGGTTGGAGATGATCTCACGACCCTCCACTCTGGCATAGTAGTCTTGGTCGATAAGCAGCGGCTCAATGACAACGAGAATCTTGTGCACGTAGGGCCGAACAAGGTCATCGAGCTTGTACAATATACGATCGATGACCTTGACGAGCAGATGGCGTTCCTGGTCTTCCAGAGTCTTCTCCATGAGGAGAGGCAGAATCTGGTCGAAGAGTGGACCAGCTCCAAACTGCCTAGCATTGTCTGTGAGCTGTCGCAAAGCAGTCTTGCGCATTGGTGGTGTACCATTCTTGACTTTGAGGAGCAGCCTCATGATCTTCCTCTCCTTCATCTGCTCTACACTGAGATCGTTCTCGTCGGTGCCGTCGGTAAGCTTGCCGAAATAGGCCATATCTTCGGCCTTGAAGAACTGGAGGTCGCCGATGCCGGGAATTTCTCCCGGTACAGGCTTGCCGCTAAGCCTGACCGCATCAGGGTCCTGCATGGTGAAAACCGCTCTGCGGAGCAGGCGTCGCCACAAGCCTGTGGGTTGGGGCGCGAAGCGGAGCGTAGCCGGGAGGGGGCTCGAGGATCTTGTAGCCCTGCTCCTCTCCGGGAAGAAGCTCGTTGAGCTCCTCGTCGCTGAGCGGCATGTTACGGCCGGACATGTCGGGGCCAAAGGTGCTCGGCAAGATAGCACCGCCGGCCTGCGAAGGGTGCATGGGCGTAGCTAGTCCTTGGTTGCCCATCGGGGTGGCAGAAGGAGCCTGGTCCCAGCGAGACGACTTCTTGACAACCTCAGCGCCAGGGGCGGGCGTCTGGTCCCACCGGGATCGCTTCTTGACGGCACCATCAGGCTGGGCGGCAGCCGCGTCGTCCGTAGGAGTGGACGAAACGTCCCATCTCTTCTTCCTCTTACGCCCGGCAGCAGCAAGCTCAGTTGATCCAGAGTCTCCATTCTCCTTGTCGTCGCCGTTGGTCAGGGTTGCGGGAGCCGTATTGCCTTCCTCGACCCTGCCCTCGGCCTTGTCCAGGATGGCGCGGCGTACGCGTTCCTCCTCGCGCTCGAGCTCCTTTGCCTCCATGACATCGCGGTAGGTCGAGCCGCCCTCGGCAGCACCAGCTTGACGGTTTGCGGCAAAAGGGTCCGCGCGGGTGGGGGTGAGGACGCGGTCGAAGCGGCGCTTCTGATAGTCGGTCTCGCGATCGGTGATCCGGTTGCTCTTCTCGCCGCGGCCAGCAAGAACGTCATCCTCCTCGACGCCATCGCCGCGAGAAAACTCGTCGAGCATATCGCGAGACGCAGTATACTGGCCGACGAGGCGGCGCGTATTGTCGACGCCGTTCATGTCGTCGTCGTCATCATCGCCGTTGATGCCGGTAGGAATAGAGGTGGCGTAGCCAGCAAACTTATCGGCGCCGTTGGCATCATAGAGATCGGTGTCAACGGTGTCAGTAAGCTTCTGCTTGGTGCTGACCGCGTCGGGGCGCTGGTTCGAAGGGTCGAAGGCGTTGGAGCCTTTTTTGGCGGCAGCGGCAGCGTTGCGCTCGGCCTGGAGCTGGCGGATCGTCTCGAAGTCCGAGTCAGACATCTTGCTCAAGGGTTTGCTTGTGTCATATCTTGAGGGGTTGGAGGATATCGAACGATGCTGCAGGAGTGCATCAGTGAAGGCTTAATCGGAAGCAGAGTTGATGGATTGAGATGATGGGTTGTCGAGCGTATCGAGGGGGGCGGGCGGGCTGAAGGGCGACGTTGGGATTAGGGACGACCAAGCGCATCAGGTTTGATGGGTCGCGCAGAGCTTTACCAAACGCATCTCGCGACTCAGCCGACATTTAGCCGACACGCCTCAATCTCTCTCAAACCCAGCTTGGTGGCGCTATGCCCATCTGCACCATGTGAAACCTTGCGTCGCCAGGTCTTTTTTTTTCGAAGCATGCTGAATTTCATGTCAAGCATGGTTCTGGACGAGAAATCGGGTATCCATCGCTTTCTACAAAAATATCCTCAAGTGGGATCACAGTGCCTTCTGAGACCGAGTCCTCCTCCGTTTTGGGTGTGCATCTGCCGCTTCCTCAACCTCAATCTTGACCTTCGTCTGGACAGTCTTGCGCTTCTTTCCCGTCAAAGGCGGGGACGCCTCATCTTCCACGACTTCCCGCTTAATCTTTACAATCGCATCCTCGCCAGCCTCTCCCTTCACAGCCAACACTTCCTCCTCTTCTTTCTTAGCCACCCTCCCTTCAAACGTCTTGAGATCGGCCGTGAACAAGACGGAATGCGCCCACCCCGCATACTCCCCCCACAGCTGCCGAAAGTGATCTCCCACCGCATCGTACATGGCCTTGCTGAACGTCTTCGTCCTGCTCTTGCCAAACTTGTAGTCCCTCTGCGCAATCTGCCACACGTGCGTGTCCACAGGCACAGCCTCCCCCCACCCAAGGCCCATGAGACACACGCAGTCTGCCACCTTGGGACCCACGCCAGCGAGGGCGAGCAGCGCCTCGTGTGCCTCCTTGTACGTCGGTGGTGACACGATCTTCTCGTCCTCGGCCTCGGATGCGGCGCGGATATTTGGGTTCGCTGGGTTCGCCAGGCTTGCCAGCCACCCCTTGGGCTTCTCCGAGGAAACGACACGTGCCGTCTCGGCGATGTACTTGGCGCGATAGCCGAAACCGAGCTCGCGGAGGTGCGACTCGACCTGCTTGCCCGTCAGGGCATCCGGCGTGGGGAAATCGTGGAAAGGCTCCTCGTTGATGTGCCCGATGAGCGGGCCATAATGCAGACAGAGTTTGTGTACCTGGCTGTGCGTGAGCATGGTGGCGGTCGATGGCTGCCGGGGCTGCAAAGGAGGGGGTAGGGGGGGGGCTGGGCTCACCATTTGTGATATCCTGGATATGTTGTTGTTGCTGCTGCATATGAAGCTGATTAGGGCCTCCCACGCATCCTGGCTCAGCATGCGGACACCTCCAAACTTGGGTGCCCTCTTGCGGAAATTGGCGTCCGCTTCTGACCACTGCTCATACAAGCTCGTCAGGTCCAGCTTCAAGCTGAGATAGTGCTTGAGCAGCTCCTCCGTGTCGTCCTCTGAAGACTCCGTCTTCACGGTTGGTGCGGTTTGGGGTCGCTGGGCTGCGGCGGGCCAGATTGAGCGGTAGTGAAGGTGAGTCGGGTCTTGCTTCAGTGAGATGATTCGGCCATGCAGCGTGCAGCACCTGATGATGTGTCAGTGTGGATGAAATTTCCAAAACTTTTGTGCTCCTCGTACCATTCGTCATTGATCTTCCGCCATCGAAAGGATTGGCCGCAGCGCAGTGTTGTATCGATACAAAGCTCTGTGAGGCTCAGTGGCAACTTGCGCCACTCGGTGACCCTGACGGGGGCCATGCTGTCCGGTGTCGAAACGGTGACGTCCAGTATATTGAAATTGCCAACTCGGTTGAACCCTGAAACGGCGAAGGCTCGACTGCTGCTGGGCGCCAATGTCAACCACCCTACACCTATACCTTCAATGTCGAGGGGGGGATCCGAACGTGGCGGCGTTGAGGTCCTGAAAGACGGCGATCAGATACTACGGACAATCATGACTAAGCACACGGCCATCGCCACCTCCATCGCAGATTGGCGTTCAGGGTTCGCGATCACAGAAATCCAACGAATATGCCTAGGAACGATGGACGCTGTGTATATAACTTTCTTATTTGCGACTTCATATGTGTCGCGAACCTTTGCAGGCTCATGCTACTCTGCCGGCCTCGTCTAATCCCGACCAACACCCTTCCCCCCCCCCCCCCCAGAAATTCTGACATGAGAAAATGGTATCACAAAAGGGAGCGCACATCGAAACCCTTAGTTCTTATGCTCTTCGTCCCTAGCCTCAGTACGACTTTTTCTTCGACTTGCTGCTAGCCTTGACAGGTAGCTGTCCGCTTTGCGCGAAAAGCTGCCACATGCACCACAGATAGCACAGACCAAAGCCGACGCAGCCGACGCCAACGTTGGCGACAGTCCAAAGGTCAGGCTTGTCGATTGGGGGGCGCACCGTCGCCTCGACGACGTGCCAGGCCGCCATGGCGATGTAGAAGACGCCATGCACCAGAGCTGTTCCCCACTGGACCCAGGCTGACTGGCCCTCTTGGAAGTATGCGCTCAGCGATGTCGGCGGGAGACCCAGCAGGTAGGCCCAGAGCAGGGTCAGGACGGCGTACGGAACGCGTAGATCGACGCGCTGGAGAAGAGGGAACATGGTCCAGGCACCCAAAATGTTGGCAAAGCCGACCCAAGCGCGCGTGTCCCTCGAGAGACCCTGCTTGCCGGCGAGGAGGAGAGTCATGGGCATGAGCGGTAGAAGGACGCTCTTCTCGTGGACCTGGAAGCTGAAAAGGAAGAAGCCCCATGCCGTCGCCGCGAAGCCGAGGGGCAAAAGGTGCTTGCGAGGGCGGAAGAAGAGGACAAGGTTTGCTGGGATGATTGATGCCAGCGTCAACGCGAGCGCGGCCCTTTGTTGCAGTTCGGGGGCGAAGTTGCGCAGCTTGACCACGACGTTGAGGGCGCACCAGAAGTTGGCAACCTTGTCCTCGAAGAGTCCGCGCGCAAAGGGGAAGATGCGGTGCACCATCTGAAGGAGCTGCTCGACGAGAGGGTAGTAGAAGGCGTCGGTGTCGAGCTTTTCGGCGAGCTGGGGAAACAGGGGCAGCGGGGGAGGCGGGCCATCAATGTTCGGACGCGAGTCGATGCCTCTGCGCACGTCGTAGAGGGTGGAAT